GAAAAGATCGACGAATGGTGACAGAATAACCAGCCCTGCCATCAAAGGTGGATTGAGATTTTTGAACATTTTACAGCAGAAGAAATTGTTTTCAAAAACGTTTGTAAAATCGTAGAATTTTTTTTTGTCTTCCTGGATCTAATGCCCCCGTTGAACGAATATTTTCATTGCTGAATAATATGCGGACGAATGAAAAAAACCCATTTAAAAGTAAGCACATTAGAAGCATGTATTCTGTCAAATACAACTTTCAAATGAACTGAATGGAATTTTATGACTTTAAAGCGTGAAACGGCACTATAAAAAAATTAATTCTACTGAAAAATATCAAAATTAATGTTATTTAAATTTTTACAATGTGTGTATGTGTAATAATTCAGATTGTTTAAAATTTTAATGTATGCATTGTTGTATGCTACTATTTTCGTAATAAATGTTATAAACTTATGAATTTTATAAGGTATTTTTTGATTTTCTTCGATATGTCCTTTATTTTCCCCCAAAAAATATGGTCACTGTAGCTATAACCTATGTTGCTAAAGCTGTGACGGGTTACTCCTTATATGCAGAAGCCTGGTATGTTCATAAGAGCAGTCTAGTGGGAAAGGCTATAAACTTCAAAGAATCATATAAAGTATCTGCAGAATAGTACTGATACATAAGAACATATATAAGAAGAAATGTTTTCTGTGTTCCTATGTACAATACAGTACATTCTTATGTACTGTCATTATCTGCTGGATTTTTGAATATATAGTGATTGTGTAATTATCTTAGTGTTCTAAATGCCAAATAACAAACAAGAAAACAACTTAGTGTTGAAACTTTAAGTGATTTTTTCTCTGTTGTTATTTTTGGTATTTAAAACATCATATTACAACTTTTTTTAAGTAGTAAACTAGAACTTTCTTATTTTAATAAGAGATTTTTTAGGTTTTCTTTTAGTTATCTGGAAACTGAACTCCTATTATCATATACAACTCTATTTCTTCATGTACAGACATATCACTTTTGACACATTTTAGAAATGCATTACATCTGAAATCTGAGAAGTACAGTAACTTTATAGAGAGGTTGAGGCGCACGTTTTAAAGTTGTAAACGTGTACGTGTGACGTTCGGCGCCGCTTTCCCATAAGCCTAAAAGTTTGACAATGGTGTTTGGATAGTCGGTGGAATCACGCTCGACATTCCAAACACCATCGTCAAGCGGAACCGAAACGGGAAAGCGGCACCGAACGTCACACGTACACGTTTAAAACGTCTGCCTCAACCTCTCTACTGTATTAGATGTAATAAAGACAGAGAAATTTTTCCGGTTCAATGGGAGTGACCGAAAATTTGTAAATTTTGGAAATTTCCGTGGACACTCTGTCCTAAAACCAATCAGTTAGAAAACAAATGAAGATTAAGTTTAACATATTTAGATTTTTACAGCTATGGTGAGAAACGTTTAAAATCTACAACGACCCTGTCACGTCCTTTGAATTATACTAATGATGCGGCAAAAGAGTTATTTGACATTGACCGGTCTTGGCACCCAAGGGATTTGGCACTCCGCGTGTATGCACGCTCCGCAACCGTCTTCGATTCCATCCATTAGCCACTCGTAAGGAGCTATTTGACTAAGTGCACTGTTTTAAGATTTAAAAAGTAAAGAATATTTCATATTTTTATGTACGTTTCTTTACAAAGCTATATTTAATTATAATTTTCTTTAAAAGTATATTCGTATAATTGAAGAATATTTTGTATGTAGCGGTACATCCACCATATATTTTATCTCACCGAGTAAGTTTTTATTATTTTATTTTTAATTGTAGCCCTTATATCGTGGCTAGCGATTCGGAACGTAATTGCGATATGAAAAATACATTTAGAAAAGTCTACGGTTTTTACTGGCTTATCGAATAAACGATACGAATGGACCATAGACCATCACAGACGCGCAATTGACTGATTGCCCCTGGATGTCTGCTTCTTACAGAAACACAGCTTCCCTATCATCAAATGTCACGGCACGCCCCTGGTATAAAACCATCCGTTTTTCTACTATATTAGTACAATGATACTGTTTACGTAAAACAGTATATTAAAGCGTGGTAATGAAATATAATTGAGGTGGTGTCTTAGGTTAAATAGATTTTTTTTAATATAAAGTTTTGGATATGATCTTCCCATAAATACAAAGCCGTGTATTTTATAAAGCAAACATTTGTCACAATTACTATATACTAAATGTATTATTATGTATAGTGTAATGATGCAGCTTATCGACAAATGTTGCAAGAATATTTATTACCCCATGCAGAATGTGTTGCAAGAACTGAGTGTTAAGAGCACGCGAGTGGTTTCTTGAATAATGGAGATGACGATGGCTTTATATTTACGAACTTAAAAATATTTAAAATGTTTGATTTGTTTAAAATCTACTTACCCTACGTCTTTCTAAATACAGGCTTTATTGTTTTAATTTAGAATATTTTCATTGATTATTTATAGAATAATGCCCACTATTGACCTTATGGATAAAACCTCTGAACACGTGTTGTTAGTTGCGGGTTCGCGCCAGCCACGTGGAATTAGTCGAATTTTCCTCATATCACGAGCCAGAAAGTCCTCCGGGATGCATCCCCTCTTGGCAGATCACCCATGTGTTGCGTTGCCTTGTATAAGGTGCATCCCGTAAATATAAAACAGTGGCGTGCCGTCATTAGAAGCCGTGGAAGCGACGCTTCCCTTGTACAGTATTTTATAAAAAATAAATACATATTAATTTTAATTATACGAAAATAATCGCGCAATATTTTATTATAACCGCATTATGCATCTTATTACAAATTTCTAAACTACACGTGGAAAAAAATAATAAAATCGCTGTTGTATATTCGAATATTAATGGCGGAGTGGAATCTCTGTATTGTCAGATTCCAAAAACCCAGATTGGCGCATGCGCTTTACGGAGCACCAACCTCACCCGGTTTAGTTGGTGGAAGCCTAGGACCTCGGGTTGATGCTACACATGAATTTGAATTGGGGACGTAAACAAAACCCTGACGAAAGAGCCGGAATATTACTTAAACAAAAGCTTAACCGAACCGATCTATAGCCGAGTACAGTGGGGACTGATTTCTTCGAAATACTGTATTAGATGTAATAAAGACAGAAATTTTTCCAGTTCAATGAGAGTGACCGAAAAGTTGTAAATTTTGGAAATTTCCGTGGACACTGTCCTAAAACCAATTAGTTAGAAAACAAATGACGATTAAGTTTAACATATTTAGATTTTTACAGCTATGGTGAGAAACGTTTAAAATTTACAACGGCCCTGTCACGTCCTTTGAATTATATTAATGATGCGGCAAAAGAAACATTTGACATTGATCGGTATCATCACCCTGGGGATTTGACAGTCCGCGTGTATGCACGCTCCGCAACCGTCTTCGATTCCATCCATTAGCCACTCGTAGGGAGCTATTTGACTAAGTGCATTGTTTTAAGATTTAAAAAGTAAAGAATATTTTATATTTTTATGTACGTTTCTTTGCAAAGCTATATTTAATTATAATTTTCTTTAAAAGTATATTC